CTCAAGAATCGCTGTTTCTCTTTATGCCTGGACACACTTCGCCTCTACTTCCATCTCCCGACCCCCGTCTTGCTTAATTCACGTTTCTATAGTTTTGTCATGTGAAGAGTGTTATTTAAATGGGATCATATGGTATCTTCTAGGATTCACTGCACCTTCTCACACAGCATCATCCTCTAGGGACTTCTGCAGGGCATTGGATGCGTCCAGGGCGCCTTTCTCCTGCGGAGGAGTACTTCATGGCACGGATGGACCGCGGGCTTTTAACCAGTCACTCGCTGAAGGACGTTGGCGTTGTTTTGAGTATGGAGCTTTAACACATAAAGCTCCTATCAGTATTTGTGTATAGGTTTTTATGTGAATATAAGTTTTTATTTCTCTGAGATAAATACCTGTAAGAGCAATTGTTGTCACTGAGTCGCTTTTAAAGAAACTGCCAAACTATTTTCCAGAGTGGATATAGCATTTGACATTCCTACCAGCAATGTAGGGTGATAGAGCTTCTCTCCGTTCTCAACAAAATTTGGTGATTTTACTCCTTTTTAAAAGAAAATTAAACATTTATTGGCGTGAAATGTTATTGTGCTTTTTTTTGTACAAAGGCTAACCATGCTAAACGTCTTTTCATATAGTTATTTGCTATCTATACAGGCTGTCTAGTGAGCATAAGACGGTATAAGACTCTGTATAAGACTATATTTTGTCTTCAGTGAAATGTCTTTTGCTCTGTTTATAACTGGATTTTTTAAACTATTGAGTTTGGAGAATTCCTTACATACATTAGACCTTGTGTTTTCACTTGCTTACCAGGATCTTTCACCTAGCACACATTTTGAATTTTTTTTTTTTTTTTTAGACAGGGTCTCACTATGCAGTTCAGACTGGCCTTGAACTTACTTTGTAGCCCAGGCTGGTCTTGAACTTGCAACGATCCTCCTGCCTCAGCCTCCTAAGTGCTAGGATTACAGGCGTGCGCCTCCATATCTGACCCACATTTTTAATTTTGATAAAATCTAATTTATCAACTTTTGTTTTTAGTTTGTGTATAATTGGTGTTCATTCTTCTTTAAGCACTGGATATAATTTTCCAGTAAAGCCATCTAGACCTAAATACTTAATTTGAGGGGATTTAAAATTATAAGTTCAATTTTCTTAATAGCTGTTATCTATTTAAACAATTTTTTAAAAATTATCAGGTACACTGTAATTGTTTTTCAAAGATTTTTTTCAACTAAATTGTTTATGTCTGCAGAGGTGTTACTATTTCTTATTTTTTCCTACATCTGCAAAGTCTATAATGTTATTATTTTACTTATGATGCTAACTTATCATTTTTAACATAGTAACCATTTGTGACCTCTCTTTTCTTTTTTTATTCTAGCTATAGGATTCATTGACCTCAGGTCTTTAGTTCATTGATTTTTCTCTATTGTTTTTCCTTCTTTCAATTTCATTGATTTATGTTTTTTCTTTTTTTTCTTTTTCTTTATTATTTCCTTACTTCTGCTTGTTTTGTTCTACTATTGCTCTTTTTCTAGGTTTTGTTTTTGTTTTTTTGTTTTGGTTCTGGGAATAGAACTCAGGACCTTTGAGCTTGCCAGGCAAGCACTGCACCACTGAGCTATACCCCTGGCCATTTTCCTAGTTTCTGAGGTAAGAGATTTTAGACTGTCTTCATGATCTATGCATTTCATCTTCAAATGTCTTCTCAACACTGCTTTAACTATGCCCTAAACGTTTTTAGTATATTGTGTCTCTATTTTCGCTCAGTTCAAGGTATTTTAGTTTCCTTGTAGATTTCCTTATTCACTTCTTATTTACTTAGAAGGGTTAAACTGGGCATGGTGGAGCATGCCTGTAATCCCAGCACTTGGGAGGCTGAGACAGAAGGTTTACTTCAAATCAAGGCCAACTTGGGCTACATCGTGATTTCAAGGCCAAACTGAGCTACATAGTGAAAACCTGTCTCAATAAAAGAATGTTAAGTTCCAGGGATATAGCTCAGTGGCCTAAGTGCCTGCCTGGCAAGTGCAAGGTCCTGAGTTTGATTCCTGGTACCAAAAAAAAAAAAAAGGAATGTTTAGTTTCTAAGTGCTTGGAGACTTTCCTGTTATCTTTCCATTATGGATTTCTAGTTTCATTCCAGTGTGGTCAGAGAACACAGTCTATATGATTTTAATTCTTTTTAATTTGTTCAGGTTTGTTTTATGGTCTATCATTTTTCTTGGTATCATCTACCTTGGTGTATTAAGTTCCATGGGCACTTGAGAGAATGAGCAGTTTGTTGTCAAGAGTGCTTATAAATGTTGACTAGATCTTACTGGTTGACAGCACTGTTGAGTTCTTCATATCTTTGCTGACTTCCTACCTAGTCATTCTGTACAGTATTGAGAGGGAGGTAGAGTGTTCTCCTGAAATATGATTGTGGATTTGCCTATCTCTCATTTCTTTATTTTTTTTTCCCTTCACATATGTTGCAGCTCTGTTTTTTGGTATCTAAACCTTTGGGATTACTAAATCATTTTGGTGAATTGACTTCTTTCATTTCAAAATCTTCTCTGTGTCTGATAATTTCTTTTGCTCTCATGTTAATATATCTATCTCTGCTTTCTCTTCGCTAAAGTCTACATGCTGTGTCTTTTTCCACTCTTTCACTTTCAAGAAAATTCCCTATGCTGTATTTGAAGTGAGTTTCTTATACACAGCATGCATATGGGCCATATTTTTCAATCTATTCTGTCAGTCTCTGTCATTTAATTGACGTACTTAGACCATTTACATTTAACCTAATTATTATTTGGGAGCATAAGTATACCAGTTTATGCTTTTTCTGTTTAAAATCTCTGTTCTTCATTTATCTGTCTTTTCTTGTCCCATATATTACTTGAATTTTATTTTTATGTATCTTCAGTGTTCTTCATGTAAATATTGACATAGTTTTATTAGCTGCTCTAGGTATGATACTACATATACACAAGTTATCAAGTCTCCTGGTGTCATCATTTTAACAGTTCAAGTGCAGTGTGGAAGTCTCCTCTCCTCATTTCTCTTTTCACTGCAGATGGATAATGTGCTGCCATTGTAAGAAAGAGTTTGGGGAAAAGGCCCATTTTACACAAGAGCACGAGAACCCAACTTACATCTAAAAACTGCCAAAAGAGCTCCTCATTTTTATTATATTACTTTAAATATATTGTCTATATTTTTTTTTTTTTCCCCCAGTACTGGAAATCAAACACAGGGCCTTTTCCTTGAGCTACATCCTCATCCCTTTTTCACTTTTCACTCTGGGACAGGGTCTCAGGCTGGGCTTGAACTTGTGATTCAGCCTTAGCCTCCCAGAGTGCTGGGATTAGAGGCATTTGTCATGGTACCTAGCTTCTCCATATTCATTTAAATTTACATTAGACAGTGTTGTAATTTTTAAAAATTAAACCATCAAACCTAATGTAGAATCTCAAAAAGAAAAAGGAAAACCAGGCGTGATGATGCCTGTAATTCCAGCATGTGAGAGGCTGAGGCGGGAGGATTGCCATGAGTTTGAGGTTAGCCTGGGTGGGCTACATAGTGAGTCCAATGCCAGTCTGATCCACATAGAGAGACCCCTGCTCAAACAAACAAACAAAGAGAAAGGAAATATATTGTATTTAAACATATTTTGGTTATCTTCCTTACATTGTTTCTTCTCTTCTGTTGTTGCCAAGACATCTTCTTTTATCACTTTATTTTTATTTAAAGATTTTCCAGTACCCATTATTTTGAGATAAATCCATTGGCAACAAATTCATGTGGCGTAATTCATCTGAGAATGCCTTCGCTGTCCCTTCATTTCTGAAACATATTTGCCCTGGATTCTGTGTTGATGGTTCTTTTCTTTCACCATTAAAAACAAAACAAGAACAAACACACAAAAAAACTGCTGTACCACTTCCTTCCGCTTCCCATGATTTCTAACCAGAGAAACCCACTGTTACTTGAATTGTGTTCCCTATGTGTAAAGTAATGTGTGTAATATTTCATTTCTCTCTTGTTACTTGCAAAATCTCTTCTTTGTCTTCCAGTTTTGGAAGTGTAACTCTATGTCACATGGATTTTATCTAGGTTTATATGGTTTGAGATTTTCTCATTTTCTAGAAACTGTAGGTTTGGGAATTGTACCATTTTTATTTTACTCTTTTTTTTATTCATTTATTTTTAAATTCACGATTTTTTAGTCATTATTTCTTTAGATGCTCCTTGCGGAATTTGGAAGACGTATATGTTAGATCCTTCGCTTGTATTCCGTAGGTTCCTGAGGCTCTGTTCTTTTTTTTCCCCAGTCTATTTTCCCCCTGTTGTTCATATTGGGTAATCGCTACTTTCTGTCTTCCAATTCACTGATTCTTATCTTTGTCTTCTTCATTCCGCTGTTGCAGAGAAAGTTTTTTCACTTATTGTATTTTCTATTCTAAAATTTCCCTTTGATTTTTCTTTATTTCTCCTATTTCTTTGCCAACACTTTCTGGACTCTGGTTTCAGGAGTGTTTGTAACAGCTCACTGAAACAGTTCCCACCTGTCTTCCCCTGCTGGAGCCGTGTCAGAGGAAGCAACTAAAAGACGAAGTATAGGGCCGCGGATATAGCTCAGTGGCACACGTGCCTGCCTGGCAAGTGCAAAATTCTGAGTTCAATTCCTGGTACCAACTCCCCCTCAAAAACAACAACAACAACAACAACAAAAAAACCACGAAGTATAAATAAGATACAGTCTCCTTTCAATTTTTAAAAAATCACTTATTCTGAGAAGGAAGAGCTCAAACTGAATGGGGGGAGAAAAGGACAGTCAGTAGGTGCCAACTCCTAGAGGACAGAGGGTTTAGAACGGTATGGAGAAGATTTCACAGCAGCCACACTTCCAGGCCTCCTCACAGTGGACAGTGGCACAAGTCCCGCCTTCCCGCAAGGCCTGCTGGGAGTCCAGAGGCTCAGCTCACCGCCAGGGATGGGTATAAAGCCCCGGCTCGCTGCTGCTCCTGCTCTCTGTGCTGGCCTGGGCAACTGGGATGCTTCATTTCAAGCAGAGCAGGGTGGAGTTCCATGCTCTGAAATTGGCCTGTTCTGGTAGGGGAGCTCCTTTTTCCTGTGGCGTTCGGTTGGAGAAGTTTGGCTATTGTCTGTCTTTCAGGCTGCCCCTTTCTGGTGAGACAAAGCAGGCTTTTTGAGAGGTGCTTACTCCTTGGGCCGTGCCTTTTGGAATTTGTGGGTTACAGGCTTCTCTAGCAATCAATTCAAGATATTTAAACAAAAAAGAAAACCTGGGGAATTTACTATCACGTCCCCATCCCTGTTTTCCTCGCCTTTCTGAGTCTAGATTTGTTTTACAGATAATGTCTAAAGCGTGAAGTTCTACTTGATGAGGAGCCATACTCCTACGGCATTTTCTCAGAAGGAGAAGTCTCATTTTTGCTCTTGTCATCCCAGTCTTTGAGGTAATAGTCTCCACCCCACCATAGAAACGCTAATGAAGGTGTATCAAAGTGTGCAATTAAGATCAAATGCATAAGAGATTGTTACTGCTTAAAGCCTGTTGCTGTAGGTCCCATCCCACTTAGTAAATGTTATCCTGTAAGTCCCGTAATTCCCCAAACCTTAGCTAATAAAAAGCTCACAAACAATTCTCTTGCGCTTACCGCATGCCAGACACTATGTTGAGTAGTATACAAATGCTCTCAGCAGTAAATATTACTATTAAACCTATTTTACAAATGAGGAAACTGAGCCTTAGAGACCTGAAATAAATAGCAAGACCCTGGATTTGAACTAATTCTGCCTGAAGTCAAATAACGGCCTTTCATCACTCTGCAATACTGGTTTATTCCTTTCATAATCAAAACCCATGCTTGCTGAAGGAACCTTCGGTTACTGTCTGCCTAATTCTAACCCAGACTAAATTGTTGTCAAATAATAGAAATTTAAAGAAAAGCCAGGAGTGGTGACACATGCCTGTAATCCCAGCACTCAGGAGGCTGAGGCAGGAGGATCATCACGAGTCGAAGACCAACCTGGGCTACAAAGTGAGCACAAGGCCAGCCTGAACTGCATAGTGAGACCCTGTTTCAAAAAAAAAAAAAAAAAAAAAAAAAAAAAAAAAAGAGAAATTTAAAGAAAAAATACGAGCTTACAGCAGTTTTGAAATAACAACTTCAAAGTAAGGTACATAGAGAGCAAACAAAAAATGAACAAATGTTTGAGTTAGGAAAGATTTCACTTCTGACAGTGTCACTCACCTGCATGTTTTCAGTTTCTGCGTGGGCGTGGGATATGCAGGGACAAGCACTACTCTTTAATTGGGTGTGATGTAAGATGCGCTAGCATTATGAATCACAAGACAATGAAATATTTCATGTGGCTTTAAAGCTCTTGAGCCTGAGGGGAAAATACATTCCTAGTCAGTGAAGTGTTAGGAGGTTGTGTATCAATGTCTCTACCTTTTCAAGTTATATAAAAGCACTTCTCCATTAATGATGTCCTTTCCATTAACCAAATGTGTAGCATTACTATCACCTTTGAATTCGTTTTTTCCCTCTATGACCAGGTAGATCTCTAGGAATGTCTTTCTACACAAAGGCCCCTCACAATTGTTAAAAAATATTTTATACATTTTTTTGTCTTTTTGAGGCAGGGTCTCACTGTGCAGTTCAGGCTGGCCTTGAGCTCACTTTGTAGCCCAGACTGGTCTCGAACTTGCTTCGATCCTCCTGCCTCAGCCTCCCAAGTGCTAAGATTACAGGCATGCACCACCACTCCTGGCAGAAAATTCATTTTGGACTGATTTTTGCTTGTTTGTATTCTACCCTCGTCTCTCTCACAACTTCCAAGTAAATTTTAGCAAATATGTTTGTTCTTTCATCATTGCCATTTAAATTAACATAATATTTAAGAACATTTTGGTTGGAAAAATATCTCCCTAGATCTAAAGATTGTTAATGAAAACACCCATCAAAGCTATATAGACATTTTTTTTTTTTTTTGGTTCCGGGAATCGACACGACCTCATGCTTGCCAGGCTGGTGCTTGTGCTGCTGAGCTATATCCCCAGCCTTTTGCTGTTTTTTTCATTTGGATATGCGGAATTGAACTCAGGACCTTGCACTTACCAAGCAAGGTGCTGTGAGGCTGACCTATATCCCCAGCCCTGCATCAAAGCTATATAGAAATACAAAAAAGGGAAGTAGGTGATGGTACCTCCAAGCTCTTATCAACCCTGCATTACTTCCCATTAGGATTCTGATCATTAAAATGTCTTTGTTTAACAGCAGAATAAACAGTGTTTCATTTAAATTTTTAAAATATTTTTGTCACAGGAACTTCACAAAAGAACTAGTTTTATTTGCAAATTATAACATTGTTCATATATTTCAATTATGTATGTCACTAGAATTTATGTA